CATATCCGCTAGCGGATTTGGACCGGGGGAGCCCATATCCACCAGCGGATTTGGACCAGGGGGTCCAAATCGCTGTGACACCGGCGTTGGTAAACGCATAGTAATGTTTCACGGTTTTTTCGCTAATCTACGTGGGAAATTTATTTCTCATCAAAACTAATTTCAAATTGTTGCACATTCTCCCGAGATTTAGTACACGGAACCCAATGAACTAGCCCTCCTTTCTGCAAATTTGTTTCCGTCATTAACGAATAAGTTTGGTAGGGGGGTCCAAATCTGCGAGGGGGGATCCATATCCGCTGGCGGATTTGGACCGGGGGTCTAAATCCGCGGGGGTCCGAATCCGCAGTGACACCGGGATGACGTATCGAGTCATTTGAAGTACTACCAGCTATCCCGCGAAAATTACAAGTTAATTTTGTTTCGTTCCGGTCATTTTGACCACGATATGGAAAAAAATATAACAGTTGTTGGTATGTTCTAAACATCCGAACACTTTAAGAAACATTGGAAATGCGGTGAAAGTACTTGTTAACAACCACAACACAAGGGAAATGTGAGGCAGTGAAAGAAAGCTAGACTGACTGGAGATGTTTTCGAAGTTTTCGGAATTAAAGTTGTAGTCGGATCACATGGGTAATATATTCTCGAGAGTGAAGGCTATTATTTAACCAAAGACTGATTCGTAAGTGCCTATCTGGGCTATCTGCACCAGTAGACAAAACCAGAATTCTCTTGACAAAATCAAAGGACAAATTGTGTCATGACGAATTTTTGTCTCGATTTTTGCATCCGCTTAAAATTCCAAAACTGTCAAACTTCGTCAGGGCTTGATCTGCTCATGAGACCAGCTGGCATAGTTTACCAATGGACTCAATCTCCAGTTTCAGGATTCATCTTACGTCGTTTCAAAGTTTTAAAATTCACGAGTTTCTCGACAAAAGAAAGTTGCCTTCCAGGTAAATTTTAGTGAGTTGAATGACAAACTGGTGGCGGTTTTTACGACAAAAGGCGTTGAAAACTTAGTCTCCTTTCACCGCCTCACATTCTTCTTTTTGCTCTGGATGCTACAAAAATACTTTTACCACATTCCCAGTGTCCCCTCAGGCGTTCGAATATTTAGAAAATACCAATAACTGTTTTATTTTTTCCAAATCAGGGCTGAAAAATCCAAAGCCACTCCAATCTTTGCTTTCCATCAATCAAGTAAACATTTTAAATGATGAAATTCTCTTTAAAATGTAAAATTCTTCAGTCCATTTCAATAGCTTTCGATTCTAATTCCTTTCACTAACTAATTTTGGTTCCAACTTGTAGAACCCGCGAAACAAGTCATATGACATGGTGAAAAATTTGCACAACACGTCATGCATAACATTAAGCTGGGTTTGTCCAATTGATTTTGATGGCCGCAAGGAAATGTCGAGATTGTCGCTCAAAACCGTTGTGGTCCATAAGAACGTCACATCATTAATGACGGGAACAAATTTGCAGAAAGGAGGGCTAGT